CACGGAAAAGGTGAAAACAAAAGATACAAAGTCGATTAAGTACGGTACTTCGTAGAAACTTCTAGAAAGTGGAACTTCGCTGTTTCACCATATCGCCATAACAATTTCAGATCATATTGCTAAAATTGAGATAGGCAGAAATAATCCAGTAGTTGTAAATAGTATCAAATTCTGACTAGAAGCTTAGAACAGCAATAGAGTATTCCAAAAGTAACAAAGCTAAGAAGGAAACAATGGAAGCGAATGACCTTCGTCTCTTATTCCACCCATGTTTTCTCAGAAAACTCTTGATAACATTGAAATTTACGATTTCTGTTGTATTTCGCAAACGAAAGACTGTACGGACTCAAAGCCAGCAGAAACTGACACCGTGTGACCTGATAGCAATTTCTATACGTCAGTTATCCTGTAATCCGTAAAGAGGAGCGAACTCTGTGACGACTGGAAATGGGAGACGAGCAAACAGGTGAATCGATATATCGGCCCGCGTGCGTACCATTTACGATGGTCACGAAACTGCCACAATTTGTCGATAGGGGTATCAAAAACGTTCCATGTTGACTCATTTTACCACACACAATTTCACAACTTTTCTACCAGTTTAGTAGTAGCCTAGACAGAATTGTTTTATTGGAAAATACAACCTATTTCCTACTTTTTTTCGAGCTCTGGAATCTTGCGAAAATCATTGCTTCTTATGGTGATACTACAAGTCGCGCAGGTGATGGTGATATCCACCAGGTACAACTTCACTCTGTCTCGCAGGCACTGTAGTTACAGTACCGTACCATGAGCGCATCATCGGCACGGCCGTTTGAAGTGGGCGCTCGGTCCAGTTGCGCGTTCTGCGCGTCCGACACCAACACGTTGTCTGTCCAGAGACTTTCTTGATTTACATTCCACTTCGGAGTTTTTCATATTCGATTTTTCGGCTGCTACTGTTTCTCACAACAATAGTACAGATCTATTTTTTCTTTATCAACACTCTAATGTTACAAGAAGATCATATTTGCCACAATGACGTGCGGTTTCAGATATTGATCAGCGAAATCATTTCTCTATGAATCTTTCTCCATCTTTCGGAGACGAAATATTCTCTCCTTCTTTTTGAAGGCGACTCAATATCAAAACATATCATTGAACGGTTGAATGGTAATTTGGTCCTTTAAGACAAAGACGTAGGAGAGCAAAAATCCAACATAACTCTTTATTGCAGCTGCTTAAACCTTTCTTTTTACAGTAACCCGTTACCGAATATCAACTGCATTATTTTGGTCTCCCAGTCAGGTTTTTTTGTCTTCTTAAAGTCACAAGAAGCAGCTATTGTAAAACCTAATAATAATATTGGAGGTTCTCCATAAGCTCACGATACTGCTCATGCGGCAAATATACTAAATCACTGAATATTTTGTAATTCAAAATAAACGTGTCAAAGACGCAGCTTTTACTGGTTAAGAATAGAAAATCTTAATGATGAGTGAGCTAGTATAAATCTTACTCCGAAATCGTTTACCGCCGAATATCTGATGAAATCTATTCACAAATTCTTAAGCAAGTCTAAAATGAAGTTTTCTAGTAGCTTTGTAGCACAGCATGTAACCCTCAGAATTGTATAGTGCAGACTACTTATCTACCGTACTACTGTGACTTGACCTCAGCCTTTCTGCTCGACAGCACCCTTATCCATCATTTTCCACGTAGGAGCAATGCCAAGCATATTCAATGTTATTTCGAAAGTCCTTCAACCTAGAATGCATGATGTTCGGATAATCCGATGGTTTCCTTTGGACGGCAGCTGGTAAAGAAAGTTAGACAGTTCTTTGTTGTGAAGATTACCATTGATCGATTCGCCCAAAAGCAATGGACGTTGTTGCTCTGCTATAGAGTTTTTCTATTATACCAGAAAACAAAATTTTTTACCACATAGTTGTCAACATGTGACGATGAACGCCTATGATGACTAAAATGACTTCCACTACTCATTTCTAGCATTGTAGGAAAGAGTCATTTACTTCAAGACCTTAGCTTTATCCGTGCTTCGTTTCTAAAAGGCTCATAACCAAGTTCAAATAAGCCATGCGAAGTCGTAAATCTTATCTCAACAGATTTACATCTATTGAAGTTGCCTGTTTAAATGACAACATAAGGCTACATTAAATTCGCTGTGAGTTGCTTAATTTACAACTTTTTCATTGATTTGAAACCGGATTCACCAGCGAACGCGAATTCTTCCAGTCCCATGTTCTTATTGCCATTATGACGAGAGTGTGTATAACAAGCACGCCACTAAATGAATTAGTTCTACTGTATGGCGCTACACTTTGTAACCTTTTTCGTTGTTGAATAAGATGCCTTCAATAAATACGACGTTGTCTTTCGTAACCTTGTCGTGTCGTTGGCGAATAGGATGCCTCCAGAAATAGCTCAACTATCACAGTGTATACTACCTACCAGCTCAGAGCATCCGAAGTCGTACAGACGCCATCTGGTCTATAAAAGCACTGGCGTTCCGCGTTTAATTAAGCTGTAAATGCACAGCGAATGCGGATGGGCGCAAACGTGGCGCAACTAGTAGGCCTTCAGCTGCCGCCACGTGCTAATCGCTATTTGCCTAACCAATCGATTCTCATCGTTTTAACCATTTTTCCACATGTAAAGTAGTAGACTAGGGGAGTAAAAGTAATGAGAGATGTTTCAAGTGGTGATAGAAAGCATTATTGTTGCACTTGTACGGATATTAAAATTCTATTGAAAGCGAAAGTATCAGACAGAAGGAGGAATCCTTCCTTAGTTTTCAAAGTAACTGTAAACCATTTATTTAAATAGAAGACATTTATAGAACTGTTCATAAACATTATTTTACCAGAGGAGAAATTTGTGAACAGCATCTAATCAACATCAGAAAGATATATAAAGATAGACGTTTCAATATAATTAATTTCAGCGGAAACCCACATCGTTACTTATTTAATCAATAATTTTTAATTACCAAGTAAAATTCACTGCGCTCAGTTCGACATTTACGACCGCAACATTCTTCAGTGTATAGACGCATAGTGCTTTTTTCTTCAAACCTACGGTAGCTCACTCAGACCTTGCAAATTAAGTCCTGTCGTGAATTTCATCTCCCAGTTTCCAGCGGCAATCCAGACAGGGCGGTGCCATGTTGGAAAAAGCCTCTAGCGAGAGGATGTACGACGTCGATATACGGCCGAGATGGTACCGTAATCCTTGTGCCTTGATGGTGGCGACAATTGTTAGGTGTCTTTTTAATTCGATAATGCACGGTTCGGCTCGTTCACCACAGACGGAGAAGATTACTAGCAGGCAGAAAGTTGTCATGGGATCGCCATGGTTTTGGCGACGCTTTCACCTATACTGAGTTCTTCCTTGATAGTTATTGTAAGTACTTGTGACACTGAGGTTTCCATTTCCAGTTAGACAACCATTTTGTTAATTTTCTTCTTCTTTGTGGTGACTTAGAAATGATACAATTAATGTGCCTTACTTCATTGATAAACTAACACGAGGTTGTTACTAAATATTTATTCCTCAAAGGAATGGCTTTCAACTCATCTACATCATTAGTAATCCTCTCAGTCATCGAAAGGCTCGAGAAGGTCACAAGAAGAACTCTTGCTCGCTTCGCCCGAGTGCCATAGCCATACAGGGGGCCGATTTGCTCAAGCGTTGAGAGAAGCCTTACAGTTTTTATGTAAGATCCCTCATATCCAGTTGTTGAAAAAGTGATCTCTGCTAGAAGCATACCGAAATCTTTTATTGCGAGGATGGCGGTTATAATAACGAGCAGATTATTCTTTAAAATAGGAAAGACAGTTGGACGTAGTGCAGATGGAGACTACCTCCACCTAAGGTTTGAGGAGCGCTCATTTTCTAAGGGGTGTGATATTACTTACCTTCTCCAGTAACATCTTGTTTGTTTATTCCCAACACAGGATATCAAGTGACAGTACAGTTGCATCACTTGCACTACAACTACTAGTTCTAACAAACCTGTGTAATTGGAATATTTTATTGTAACGAAGTTTCAGTGCACGTTTTAAGAGGCATTTAAAACGTTGGATATACTGTTCAGATGTTTACTGGCCCAATTCGCTCCTTTCGACCAAATATAAGAGTTCGCGCAAAAAATGGTAGAGTTTGGCGCGAAAAAAGTAGTAGAAAATATGCAGTTGCGAAATGAAGCGTTCGTTCTAGGATCTCTGAACTGGTTAGTCTAGTAGAAAATTCTACATTACGAGTTCCCTAGCGCCGTGTCCACTTACACTGCAGAATCTTCCCAAATATTTTTGAGTTATACTGTATGTTTGCTGAAAGCAGCCTCACTTCTGCGTCTCACTCACTCTTGCACTTTCTCGAACGTTTTCTTTAGGGGAACAAGCAAACACGTTGGCAATACTTTATCGCTTTCCTGTGAGTCGGGACGATAGACGAAGCCCACACCTGGTTCGTTTACGGCCATTCGTGAAAGCCAACTCGAAGGCTTCGTTCACTTCCGGAACATTCATGGTGCAGGGACTGGATTATTCTCTTATTTTTAATCAATCTTAAATCTGAATCGAAACATCATTTTCCGCAAGCGAATATAGAATTTGTTATGCCGCGGCTCGGAAAAATGCTAGCCTAACCGGGTACTGGACCGTGAAGTGTGCGGAGAATTGATTTTACCTCATAAAAAGCTTTGCAACCTTCGAGCACAACTTAGCACCATATATTTTCTGGCCCATCTCTTTAAAAGCGTGGTGATATGGAGCAAAGGTTCCTGTGCGACTGAATTCATTTTCAAAACAAGTCCTTGGCAACGGTCATCGTAAACTGTTCGTTGGGATGGGAAGACAGATGGCGATGTGCGATAAGCTTCTTTTTGCCGACGATGTGAAACTGCACAAGGAGCCTTGTGCCAACGACGTGGCCGTAAAACGACTGGGTACTGTACATCAACTTAACCGCCTAAAATTTGCTTGCTTCGCTATAAAATGATGACGCAACATGGGCCGATGATGACAAATCCGAACAAGAGAGATGCAGCAGTTTCTGCCGCCAAGTTTAGAGCTTCAATCACGGGTGAACCTCGTTCGTTAAATTTTCAGCGTTTCTGGAAAAGCATTGAAATATCTAATAGAAAAAGTTATAAAGGGCAATATAAAAGAAGGAAGAACTTTAAAGGTGCTGAAAGTGTTTCGTTTTCAGTGCTCCATGAGCCCTGTCACCTAGACTGTTGACAAACGTCAGCAGTGTTTAAAACGTAGGTTCCAACTGCCTCCTTGAATTGGAATTTATTCACATTTACCAATATGAATTTCCAATATGGAACCTCGTTGATCCCACTTGTTACATTGTTTTCATGTGGTCCGTACGTCACACGCCAGGTTCGCCACCGTCGCCCTAAGTGTCATCGGATTATTGAATCTGAGTTCCGAAGCAATATTTTTTACTATGAACCATAAGTGGCAGTGGATGACCATGCCGAAGATCCGAGAACACTCTAGCATCACCACCTTGGCATTCGACAAGAGTTAATGTCCAACTAGTTTCGAAGATGTGAACTCAATCACTTTCAATCTTAACCCTTTTATTTACTGCCTTTTTTCTTTTTAATGGCAGGGTATGTTGCGAAATATAACTCGTATGTAATGCTGAGATATTTGCAAAACTCCCGCAGGTGTATGCGGTGGGGAACGAACACGCGCTGTTGTCCTTACTGGGGAGCAGCGCACTTCACCACCACACCATCCGGGTCAATCACTTTCATGCAAGACAGTTAGAAGACATCGAAACGAATGGATGAAATGATTGGGCCCACATGATGCGTGCAGAATTCATCTAAACATCTAAGTAAGCAGGGAATTGGAGTGTTTAACATTTCGCTGTCTCAAAATCGTAGAACACAGATGAAATGGGCTTTTTGCTGATCAATAATTTGGCAAATGTAAAGAGTGATTAAAGAAAAGTGTTCACCATTACAATTTATGTAAAAGTGACGAAATAAAAAGAATTCTTCAATGAAGTGAGACTAGTAAGTCATTTCTTACCAACTTTCCCGACTGCGGCAAGCCAAAACAATGTAAACAAGAACCAAGGGCATTCTACTGTTAGTTAATACACTTGTCGATCCTTTTCATAAAAGTATTGGAAGTCATCGCCTCTTGATGCACGGCCTCTAGTGAGTGTCTAAAGTCACCCGGTATCGTCGATCCATAAATCCAAGTTGACATTTACGACACGATACGTATATGACGAAGTGCGTTTAATTTGACGACATTTGAGGACATCTCATTTTGGTTTTCTAACGGTCTTCTAATAATGCTGACTTTCGACAACGAGAATCCTCATGGGAAATCCGATTGATGACCAATGCCATCAGACCGTGCAAAGCCTCCCGTTTGCAGCAAGAGCCTCATTTTATTTCGATAATCTTTTAAGCTTTTTACGGTTTTGATACCAAGAACAACCAGTGCTCATGATCGTATTGATTAGCTCTTTCTTAAATGATATGTTTGAGTAATTTCTAAGTCATACTGACCCATTTACTGCTGTTGGATAAGGCAAGTGCTGAAATTCTTAGCACTGGCAACTAGAACTTCCGGACGCATATACGAAACGATATCGCTTTCGGAATGTACTTTCCACATTTTAAGACATAGGCATAGTACTCGTGCCCAAGTGGCCTACCACATTCCATGTCGAATGGGAGTTTCGATTGTATTTGCATCGGGTGATCCATTCGATCATTGTTCTTCATCGGAGCGCGGCATAGCCGTCAATATTGGGCTTTCCGTGCTGCTTCGCCCCAATCAGTGATAAATACGCAGAGAATTTTTGTACGCCTTTCATCTTGCCGCCAAGTACACTCGACCTGACATTCACGTCAGAACATTCTTATCTATCGATTCCAAAAGAACTTTAATTTCGCTATGTGCATTATGAAACCGAAGTGACAACAGCTTCAGTCGACCCGGCAAATCTTTGTGAATGACCAAGAGGCAGTGTACATTATTTGAAGAACGTGTTTTCTTCGCCGAAACAAAATTTGGAGTTAAAGTTGAGAAATCCTATACAGGAGTATCTTATGTTAGTTCTCTGGTTCTTTTTTAATAACGAGAATAATCGAGTCTATTATAGTGAACGATTCAATCTTTTAATTACTATAAATATAATAAGTTATACTAATAATACAATATAAATATAATAGGTCAAGGGCGCGTGTGGCGCAGTGGTTCGAGGCACCACTGTGACACACATGTGGAATCGGTCCTCGCAACCACGGTCCACCAAGCCTTCCATCCCTTCGCGGTTGGCAAATTGGTACCAGACTTGTATGAGAAGATAGCAGCACTGGCTCGACACATCGGTAGGTCACCGAGAGTCATTGTAAAGGCCAGATAATCATTCAATCACCTCCAGGCGATGCTTGATGCGGTCGAACGCATGGCGCATCTCTCAGCGATTGATCAATGCCGAGAGCTGTATCCTTTGTCTTTTATAATAAATTAGCGCAATGATAAGGAAATGACCTATATACGTTGTCGAATACGGTCAAGAACAAATTAGAATTACAGCTTCAGACCAATGTAGAATTGGCTTAAAAATATATTTTATTTGTCAAATCTCGTCCTAGAATTTGGACTATAATAAACGTCCCAATGACATAGTCTAAACCATGACAAGTATTTCACGTGCCGATCCGGTTCCTTCATTTCATTTCTCACCACGTGTCATCTTTATCTGAAGATGGTTTATGAGCTACTCATGTTCATTCACTAGTGCTCTCTGATTTATGAGCGGATGATGACTTCATAGACACTGCCAAGAAGGGCTGGGACAACTCACCCAGCTCGGATGCCTTCTAATTAACTGTTTTGGCGCAAACAAATAACGCAGATGCTATCGATTTCGACAATTGTTTGCTCACTTTCGTCGCTGATTCCAACTAAAGAATAGGGATGAAAACCCAAAACGGAATCCCGACGCGAACTTTTGATACCTTAATTGATTTACTAGAAAAATACGGGTTTTTGACCTTTAAAACTAAATTGGACAGAATTAATTGCGAAAGGAGTTTGCTCAGATGCTAATTTCCGAGTTGTGTTGATCGCTCTTCTAAAACACCGTATACCACTTTTTATGCAAAGTAGCCACACAGCCATATGATTAATTCCTTAGATTTCCATCGTTGGTGACTGATGCATACAGTATTCTCGTGCTTCAAAACATGATCCAATTAGCCACAGAGCACGTTTGTCGTAAGCCGCTGGGGCTCGTAAACCTTTTGATTAGACGGTTGGCTTTACGAGTACACCCAGTAGCCATGGCAGCTGCCTTCGGGCGCATACGATATGTCCTTTAATTGTTGTTCTCGTTTCAATGCCAGCAGTTCTCCGTAATTGGACCCAATGACGTCGCTTGTCAGCTACCGTTTACGATGGCCAGGTGACGACCGCTTTGTCTTGGGCACCTTAGAGACATAGTGTGCTATCTGGGATTTCTATTGTCTGTCTAACAAGACCATATGTAGGACAACAGAGTAGAAGTCTTGGAACCAGCACTTCCATCGGGAACTAAGACAATGGAGGCATGTTTTCAAAAGTTTGACTTCCTCTATGATGGGCTGTTAAGGAGATAATCACTCATTTATATTGTAGGAAAGACGACTGATTCCAGGTGCAACTACAGCTATGGTGAGATGTTTGCCAAACTCATACCCCAGGCTAGATTAGGACCCGTATCCACTAGATTCTTATACAATCAATAGAACTAGCTGAGAGACAGGCAAAACGAAGGACCCGGATGGTGTGGTGGTGAAGTGCGCTACTCCCCGGTAAGTACAATAGCGCGCGTTCGTTTCCCACCTCATACATCTGCGGTCCGGAATTTTGCAAATATCTCAACATTACATAGGAATTCTTATAATTTAATGTACCTTTTTATGGATAAGCTCTTATAGTTTTTATAGTTTACTCTTCCGAAAACTTGAAGGCAGTTTCAAAAAACTTGCTCGAAAACTCGAGTGTTCACTTCAAGTTTCACATTCCAGAACCGTCTCTAGACTGGACGGGAAACCATTCGATGCGAAAGAAGCGGAAGCCCTACACGAAATATCAGACGTTGGAACTCGAAAAGGAGTTCCTCTATAACACTTACGTCAGTAAGCAGAAACGATGGGAGCTAGCTCGAACCCTTGGACTCACCGAACGACAAGTGAAGATATGGTTTCAGGTAGCAATAATACTTCATTTCCGAGATTTATATCGAGATTTTTAACTAGAAGTCCTACTTTTCTTATTTTCTTGCATTCACTTTATTCTTTTTGCATGAATAATGAGAAAATCATTATTCCTTAGGGACCCAAGTGATTTAGCTGGAAGTTCCTTGAGGAGGAGTAAGGACAAAGAACAAGCCATGAACAGAGCACAAAAGTACACCATTTGTGATTTTTTCGATGACGATCTTTGCTAAGTTAAAATAACACTTTTTTTAAAAGCAACTAGAAGTTGTCGTGGTAATTCACAAAGTGTAGCAGAATTCTTGACTCGACGAACAATAACTAGTTGGTTATTCAAATTATTCTAGTTATAACTATAACCGAGGCCTCACCTTGTTTTCTCTCAGCCTGGTTTTTTGGACTAACGGTGTTATCAGCAGTAGATGACACCTAAGCCCACAGAAAGGATAACAACGAGTTCTAAGCGCACTTGAGGTTCGGGGTTTTGCTTACATCTCAACATTCGTGTGGTTTACATATTGTCCTGCCACAAAATAAGCAGTAAATAAAAGTTAAAACAATGTAATTTAGACTGCAGCTTTAGTTTAACTGGGTTCAGTGCCGGTTTGCGCTACCCAAACGAATCTCGCTGACTGGTGATTGCTGATAGCACCGCCGGAATAAAAGACTGACATTGAGAAAGGCAGAGCGAGGGCAGCGGTTGGTGAGGTGGATAGCAGGTGAACCTCTGATAAGAGTACTCGCGCTTTCGAAGCCTAACTGAGGATCCGGATTCTGCTCATATCTCAGAACCTTTGTTGTTATACCTACAACCGTTTAACCTGACCATAAAAAGCATTTATTGATTATTCAGTTTATGATTCGCCGAGAACTGCAACTTCTCCGCAATCAAAGTAGAGTTCAAGGCTAAACGAAATTAGTACTTTTTCTTTTCACTTTACACTATCCGTCTTTATATGTATTGTTTAGTAAACATCACCTTTTGTATTAAATTCTTTTTCTCCCACCATCCACGATGGTCATCCAGCTTTTTTCGCGAGGTTTCGGTTGCTGGCTTGAAGTTTATCGTCTTATTAATGAATATCGTTGAATGCTGCTCGAGTCGATCTTCTCTAGAGTTCTAGGATAGTCGGCTTAGAGAGTTCTCATTTGGGTTTCAACTTGTGAACTGCTCTTAGAAAAGTCTGGTACAACTTTTTCGACTTCGTATGGATGAGAAGCTAAGTGACCAGGAGCGGGTACACTACCACTATGCTGGTTGTGAATGGCATCACTTCCATTTGCACTCACTCTCCGCCCCTTCGAGTTAATAAAGTGCCTTCAAAGCAGAGTTCATATCCTAAAAGCTTTTTTAGAAACCTTTTTCGTTCTAAAGTTTTTGTCTCACGTATTAAATCTCGACACGAAAAAAACTACCAGGCATTCTTCCTTCAGCAGTTCAAGTTGCATTGGAAGAAAGGAAGAAGGACACTGCCCCACGACTCTATAAAGTCACGGCCGAATTCTTTCAAGCGAAAAACCATGAGCTATATGTACTTTTTGAGACACATACGACATCTTACTTCCAGTATAAAAAAAACCAGAAGCAGTGGAGAGCGTCGCACACGGTCATCCTACTTAAATAAAGGTAACCGAAGGGACCTATCTTCCGTTATGGTCGTTGAATGTACTCTGCAAGTAGTTCACGAAGATTATCCTGTCACACACATCAAGGACTTTGGAAGAGGAGCAACTAATTGAGCAAATAGAAAGTCCACAAAGACTCTGCTGAATGGGCATACACCTAAAGCATATCATGGATCGTAAAAGCCTGTCGGAGGGACCGCATTTTGTCCGTACCTTTACCGACTACGAGAAAGCGTCTGACAGTGTAGAAGCAAACGAAATTGTATCAGCACTCGTTGAAAGAAGACTGGATCTTCTTTATGTAAGACTTCAGGCTGTGTCCTATCGTAACTGCAGCATGAAAAGAACGGCTTTCTCAACATATTCCTACTATTCCCATGAAAATGGGTTTGAAAAGGACACAGCATCTTTCCTATGGTGCTACAATGAAGTGAAAATAAAATTCAATTGTTAAGAAATCTTCATTTTTTTTGACGAAGTTGTCATTTTCTCGATGAATTCCAGGAAAGAAGAAAATATGCTCAATAAGATCAACAAAGCGTGGAACATGAGTAGTTCTCTGACTACAGACAGCACTTCAGATGTCTACTTTGACGTTCAGTGAACGTACCGAATGACATGAAGGAGGAATTAAAGAAAAGAAACAGAGCAGCACAGGTTGCATTCGGGCCACTCAAAAAAGCCACCGAACGACTAACAAACCTAAAACTCTGCGCTCAGCTTTCCAGCTCATCGATCATCCCAAAACTCATTTATACAAAAGAGAAATGCGCTGGTACTTCAACTACATCAGGCACTCTGCACGGACCCATGGAGCGTTTGAGCGATCAGTTTTGAATTATAATCAGCGCTCTCAATATCTAACCGAAATGCATAGCTCAGTTTTTCGAAACTTTTTCTGCCATCGAGATCCAGGATAATATTCATTGATAGTCAATCACAAAGTGGGGCCTTCACTTAATAAAAAAAATCAGACGACCGTTGGACAGAAGGTTCAGTGAAGTGGACCAGAAGAGAATGCAGGCGTCCACTTGGAAGACCACCCAAGAGAGGAGCGGGCGTGTTTGCGACTGACGATGACTGTCGGCTTGCGCGGATGGAAATGACCTTATGATCATGGAGTTGCCTCGGAAACGTTACTATGTTCGTAGCAGATCACTACCACGGACGACAATTACGCAAGAAAGACTAAAGGAGTTTGTGCAAGAGCCTGCACTGCTAGTGAAAACGACCATCTAAGGATCCAATTAACGAAGTAGATAAAGCAGCAACTGTTTTGGCCAATAAATCTAAATTTTTGGAAATAAACTGATTCCTAAATACATTGAAATTCTACTGCTTAGCTCTGGACTTTACCCTATATCATGTCAGCTGTTCAACCCACGCAAGATGATAGTCTGATTGTATTTGGTGGACACTGAATCGCGCAAAAGTACAGATTTGTAACTATGACAAAACTACAGTAACCAGACGTTCTCATACTTGTATAGGTTTTTCGCAAAAAAACACTTTAAAACGCGATGAAAAAGAAGCAGGCAAGAGTTTGACGAATTTTTAGAAGTCGCATGTTGAAATAAACCGAACCCGTCTTTCAAATTGCCTTTGCTGCAAAAATGTTAGTTAAAAGGTTGAAAGGATAAAGCTCTCAGCGTTGATCAATTCCTGAGGGATGCGCCATGCACTCGACTTCATCAAGTAACGTTGGAGGTGATCGAATGCATATCTGGCCTATGACTCACGGTGGCCTACCGATTTACCCAGTCAGTGCTGCTATTGTCCCAGATAAGTATGGAACCAATTTGTCGACCCCGGAGGATGGAGGGCTTGGTGGGCCATGGGCGCGAAGATCGATTCCACGTGTGTGTCGCAGTGGCGTCACCAACCACTGCGCCACACAGGTCCCTTGAATGTTGTTGAATGAGAATGTCAATTTTTTAGTAGAAATCCGGAGCACATCCGTTCCCCATGTGGCGTTGAAAATTGAATCTTATTTAAATTCAAAGTCAAAGGACAAATTCTGTCTGACTAGAAGACTAGAATATAAATTATAACAAATAAATATCGCAAAATTTTATGAAACAATGTTGTAGTGCACTTTAACTCGGTGAAATAATACTACATGCCCATCTATGCAAAGAGCAAATAAGAAATGAACAGCCGGACCTGAGGATTTGATCGTTTCAGAACCGACGAATGAAAGACAAGAAAGTGAAGCAACGAGCGACAGTGGATGGCGGAGGATGTGTGATGATGCTGAAAGAGGAATGACTGACGGTCGCTTTATACATCACTTCGAGTGGAACTTCTGAATTTCACTTTTACGTCACCGTTGTGGTTCCGTAAGGGCGGTAACGGCGTTGGCATGATAAACACCAACGAATGTGTTCGTTGCCATTGAAGCCATTGCTCAGCAAGTTTATAATTCTAATTCAGATGATCTTTGCTCAACCGTCAGTTATAATTATTATGCACTATTCGACTATCAGAATTATGAGCCATTCCGTATAGTCGGCCGTGCTCTATATGCTATGTCTATAGTACATGTTCTCTTCGTCCGAACTTGTCTATTGTGTCTGTAATCGCGGTGTCATGGATGCCGTCCTTCATTATCCCGAGGGTCTCTCTGGAATTTTCCCAAGAAAACCGAGCATATTCTCAGCTACATGGTTGAGTACACTGAGAGTCACGGTGTTGTCTAATAAGAGCGTAATTACCGGTAACTGAGCAGTGTGTGCAGCCCCGCCTGGCTCAGCGTTTTTCATTGGTCTTGTGTGATTTTGCGCCGTGGTCGGCCCTTTTCTAAGGGACTGCCTTCCCACTAGCGCAGTTATCGTCTATTGTACATTTGATTTTGCTGCTTTTTTGTTTCTTTTTTGGAATCTAGAAATAAATGCGCTTATAATTGCTTTTAATGCCAGCCATATTTTAAAACAGTTCACAATTATAAAAAAATACGACTAAGTTTCTGCCCAGTGCCCTACTGCGGCACTATAGCAAAGGTTGTCTCTGCGGCAATAGCTCGAGCTGAAATAGTGGCTAACCCCATGCAAGTCTCCTGAACTAAAAGACATTCTAAATTTATGTTTTCGGCAGAAAGACTAGTAATGAGTAGATCAATGTCACGGACTACTCTCTTCCCAGGATCAACCATCAGCAGTGGGTGAAAACGTAGCAAGGCTGTCTTTCCAATTCACGAAAGAAGGTACCTTATTATTCTTTAAGAAGACAAGTCGTCCAACCATCGATGTGTTATAATAGGTTTTTTAAGAAAAGTATCTCAGCACGAGGTTGGTACAGAAGTTCCTCCCCATTCTGCAGAGTGTTGGTCTTCGTAGACGTGTCGAGTCGAATCCTCTTGAGTGTAGCACTTCTCGTTTACAGTAACCTCAGGAACATGCGACAATAGGAGCTGGCGGCGTCGGCGTTTTCTCGTCGACACAAGTTTGGCCATTAGTATCGATGCTTTCGAACAACTAGCAATCCGAATAGTACGTTTACAGTTGAAGAGATGTGGAACAATACAGGCTTTGACAATCTTCCCGGTCTCATCACCGACATCAAGCTGTGAATGGTACAAAATCGATGTGAATCGATTCAATGTGAACTTGGAGAAGTCCTACAAAGAAAAACATGCAATTTTTTTAGGCCATCATTGGAGATTTTAACGTCATAAATAGACTCAAAAAATGTCTAAGAAACGTCATATTGGGACCCACGGATTAGAATGGGACAAGCATGCTGAGCGGCTGTCTGAGTTTATCATGGCGACCAAGACAGTCCATGGTAACCCGCAATTCCAGTAACCCCAATGTCAACCCTAGACGTGAGCCTTTAATGGAGAGCACATAGCGAAACAGATCACATAACAGTAAATCGAAGAAATTTTCTTCGTATTTTTGTTGAGCAAACGCGAGGTGTTATTATTCTTTGTTCACGATTAAGCTGACCTTTCGGCGGATTTCACCTTCCTCAAAGCCTGGAAAGGTCAAGTTGATAGCAATCTACTCGACCAGACGCCTTCATAACCAAACAAAGAAACTCCAAACCAAGATTTCAATCACTTTGAGCACAGCTTTGCACACTCACCGCTTCCTATGAGGTTTCCACTAAGTATGTCACGTAGAGACCAACCGCACAGAAATCACATAGAAATAATTTGACCCTCACATCAGAAAAGCAGTTTTATATACTGCCCTATATCACGCGTGTTAATGAGGCATTCTTCTCTGCGGTTCATTTTCGGATTTCTGGAATTAATCCAGAGTGCCTCGAGAGTTTTTCGCGCCTGTGTTCTTAATTCGCGTGCGAGGATCGTGACACATACTTCGAAGTCGTCCCCGTTATGTCTCTGGGTCCTATGCGTGCCTAGCGGGGTATTTGGTCTATTTTTGCCGGCTAGGTGTTCTTTCATGCGGACACAGAGGGGTCTACCCGTTTCGCCAATGTATTCGTCACCACACGTCTTACAGGAGATCAGATAAACTATACCCGAGCTCATGCAATCACCGTCTTTGCCATTGGGGCAAATTATGCAATTTTGAGTTGCACATAGACGGTCATATAGGCGGTTACGAACTAGCTGGCGCTTAAGATTGCTCGGTGGTATTTCAACTACGCTCACCGAATTCTCTAGGCCGGCCCTTCTTAAGCAGCGTTTTATAGCTGTACTTACATCATTTGAGATGAAGGGTAGGATAAACGGGACCCTTCTATCGCTAGAGTTGTCGTTTGGAGGCCTACGATTTCCTCTACACCTATTCTGAGCTACAGTTTCGTAGCCATTAGAAACGGCTATTTGCCGTGCCAAGTTCCGGGACTCCTCTCTCTGCTCTCTTCCCGTGCACACGTTGGTTGCTGTTCGAAACATGTTTCTTATAAGCGCCCTTTTCGTGTGAGAGGAGAGGTAATGAACCAAGATATTTTTACTACTTGGCTTTCGGTACCATTTTGCAATGTAGCCATTTTCTGATAGGTGAATTTGTACGTTCCAAAATGGAAGCCATTTGTCTTTCGGCTTTTCTCGGGTGAACATGATATACTCTGACTGTGCGTTTAACAATTCGAAGCATTTGTCCATTTTCTCTTGTGTTGAGCAAAGGACAAAGCAGTCGTCTACATACCTACAGCAGAGTAGCGGCCCGAGATCAGTCCGAGCTTCCACCTTAGACATAAATGCAATGGCAAGGCTTGGAGCCAGTCGTTGTCCCATTGCCAACCCTCTTATTTGAGCGTAGTACTTTCCAGACCATCTGAAGATTGAGCAGCTCAAGCATTCTTTTAAGAGTGCCTTCAACTGCTCTATCTTGATTCCATACATGTTTATTTCTCTTACGTGTTGTAGAAGGAGTTCGAATATGGCTTGCATTGCGGAGTCATTCGACACGTTTGTATAAAGGGCGGTAACGTCGAAGGACTCCATCACGCACGCGCTGTTGGGCTGCGCAGTACGTAGACGATCCAGAAACATCTGGGTATTCGTAAGATGGGCTGGAATGTGTTTCAACAACTGGTTAAATATTAGGGTTAAAAACCATGTTATCCTGTCCGTTGGCCCGTCTACGCAGCTAATGATAGGTCTAACCTTAAATAGTGACGGATCGTTAGACGCAAGATCATCGCTGGATACTAACTTGTGAGTTTTTATAAGCAAGTACAAGACGGGTCATGTTGGTAAGTCAACTTTTAGTTGAGAGATAACTGATGGTTTTAAACCAGCAGCCCTTGCCAGTTTGACTCATTCGCGGTTCAATTTTCATTATTTACTTTTAAACTCCTCATATGATGGGCGACGAAGTGAAGCATCTTCAAAATACTTTTTCGTTATCTCAACATCTAACTGGTGGGGAATTACGACAAACTCTCCACCCTTATCACTAACGGATAGTCTTATGTTTTCCAAACTTATCAGCTCTCGTACCTCTCGCATACAACGTTTTTCCACTTCAATGAGGTTAGAGCAGTATCTCTTAGCGCGATATTGATTAAGAGCGCGATATTGTTTAAGGACTTTGAAAGTTTCATTCGTAAACATGCGAAATTTAACATCAACTTCATTACTGGGCTCTTGTTGTCTAAAAAGCGGCTAAAGAAATGGTCCTATTGGTAGGGCTCCCACTTGGTGTTGTTCGCACCTATTTTGCGTTTCATTTCTAACTTTTTTGCGGAGTCCTATCTTGAAGTTCATGTAAACCACATGCGACCCTACGCACGGTTATCTTAGAAATGGGTTCAGATGGTGAGAAACTCGGCCCCAATTCTAATAACGAGCGCGCACCGTCAGTGAGAGTTATGCCTCCTAACACGGTTAGCCTTGAATTTTCTTGCACCTTACCTATCCTATTGTGATCTGTTTGATGTTCTTTAGCGATATTTTTGTGCGCTATTGAAGCTGTGTTATGTGATTTACTCAAAAGGTCTTCGAATTTTCTTCGCAAAGCTACTTTAGCATTAGACCTAATAGAGTTGCAAATCAACACTGACCCGTCCACTATTCTCCTCCAGAGGCGGTCCTCCAAGTATTTAGCACAAAAGTTTTCCTTCGTCTCGCACTTCTTCCACTTGGCGAACATCTGGTTTTGTCGGCTTCGTAGACAAGTGCGTAGTATTCGCAATTTGACGTCCAATACTTGGTGACTGTCCTCTGGTAGACCGCATACGTCGTGTAGTCGTCTTCGTTTGATGAAGTTCGGAACGACTTGATGTTTTAGACAGCGGCGGAGAAAGTGTATTGAGCTAAGACGATCTTTTGTCTCAGTGACAGTGCTTCTTTTACAAGTCGGAAGTATCTTGCTGGTACATCTTGCAGTAACTGCCACGACCGACTTTCTATTAACCTCGGCATTGATCAAGTAATTTTCTTCGTATTTTTGTTGAGCAAACGCGAGGTGTTATTATTCTTTGTTCACGATTAAGCTGACGTTTCGGCGGATTTCGCCTTCCTCAGAGCCTAGAAAGGTCAAGTTGATAGCAATCTACTCGGCCAGACGCCTCCATAACCAAACAAAGAAACTCCAAACCAAGATTTCAATCACTTTGAGCACAGCTTTGCACACTCACCGCTTCCTATGAGGTTTCCACTAAGTATGTCACGTAGAGACCAACCGCACAGAAATCACATGGAAGTATAATGTGACCCTCACATCAGAAAAGCAGTTTTATATGCTGCCCTATATCACGCGTGATAATGAGGCATTCTTCCCTGCGGTTCATTTTCGGATTTCTGGAATTAAAGGTTTTGCCTAACTGATGTCGCTGTTTTCTTAGAAATC